GAAAATTAAATAAATTGTATGCTATGTAAAAGTTGATTCCACAGAAACCTCAGTTTTCGAACAGTTGTTAATTCAATCAGTTGAATTTTAATAACAATAATATAAAATAAATTCAATGAAAAGTCCGTTTTCTAACAGTTCGTAGAATCACTCAATGTATTCTTTTATATCATTAATTGTATGAGTTAAGTTATAATAAAACAAATTTAGTTTTTGAAAAAATGACATACTCCTAAAACTCGGTTTAAAGAAAATTAAATAAATTGTATGTTTTGTAAAAGTGTCTGTAAAAGTGGTATACACCACAAGCTCGGTTTTCGAACAGCCCTTAGAAATAAATGCAAACGCGGAAACCTCTATTTTTTAATAATTCGGTTTACGAACTGCCTTTAGAATATCCCACGGCATTATTATACATAATTAATGGAATAAGTTGGATTAGATTAATATAATAACACAAATTCAGTGTCTGCTAATGTGACATAAAGCGAGACCTCGGTTTTCGAACAGCTTACTCACAGATAATTAATTGAATGAGTGACATTTATACACATTTCATTCAATTTCCAACAAATTTTAGCAAATTTAATGATAGAGAAATATATTAACTTTTATGAATAGAATTGTAACAAATTTAGTCAATAAATAATTGTATTGTCTGTAACAAAAATTTGATTATTTTTTAACAATTGTTCAATAAATAATAATTTTCCAAATTCTGAAAAATCAGGTTATAAATGTTCAAATGAGATCAATAATTTTATAAAAACCGGAATAGTAAAAACGTGAATAGTGATTGAAGCTGTAAACCTTGCAATTTTATTGTTAGGATTTATGATTACGCTTTGATTGGTATTGTAGCTTCAAATATATATACACATGCGGATGTACGTGCATCCCATATATTTGGGTAAGGATTCCTTCGCATTATCCTCACTGCACACATAAAAGCTTTTAAAGTATTTCCTTCCAGTAGAACCACTTAAATACAGACAAATAAATGATTTATGTTCACTACGCTGAAACTCAATAGTACAATTTTTTCAATAAGCTATTTCTACAGTAAAATCAATATTAAATATGTTTACATTGCATTATTTCTGTATGGTGGTTTCACGAAAGATGGCGCTAAATTTGAATCTGCTTGTTTTTTTTAATATACCTCACTTAGTGCGTTCCGACAATATCTCGTTTGAAAGCGTACTAATTGAGGTCTTTGAAACCGCATAAGAAATATACTGTATAGAGGAGACTTAACAGACAGAGAGCAAATAATCAGTCCCATCATATACCTAACTGTTTGAAACCGGAGTAATCAGTTCCGACAATTACCGGACTGTAACGAAAGAGACTTAACTCACGTAGTGCGAATAATCTATTCCGATAATTACCGGACTGTTTGAAACCGGTCTAATTAAGGACTTTAAACCCGAATAGAAATAAACAGCACCAAAGGAGACTTGGCACATATTGGGCGAAAAATCAATTTCACCAATATACCACACTGTCTGAAACCGGACCAATTAAGGACTTTCAAATCGTACATATAGTTCGAATAATCAATTCCGCCAATTGAAATAATAAGTTGCGCCAATAAACCGGACTGTTTGAAACCGGACTAATTAATGACTTTAAAGTCGCATAAAAAAATACAGTGCGAATAATCAGTTCCGCTAATATACCGGACTGTTTGAAACCGAACTTTAAAATAACAAAAAAAATATTTGTACAGAAAGAGACTTAACTATAATCAATTTCTCCAATATACCGTACTATTTGAAACTGGACTTGTGTATAATACAAATAAGTTTGTGTAGTAATTTTTTAGAATTTATATTTATTTTGTTAATTAAAATTTAGTTTGTTATCAATTTATTTAACCGGACTATAATGAATCGGGACTGACCGATGCCGGACTATGCGAGGTATTGCTGAATCTTTAACAATCATATGTAGAGGGTTTTATGAAATATTAAAATGAGTTTAAATTATGAATTTATAATATAAGAATTCTTAGATCAAAATAATAAAATTTCTAAACACATTTTAATATAAACTTATTTGTTTTTACCATTTGCTCCTAATGTTATACGAATAAAATACAGATGTTGAATTTAATTGAAGAATGATTTCAGGTTTTTGAGAAAAGTGTGAATTGGAAAATTGGATTCTGTATCCGGGTGCAATTTAACTTTTCGCGGATTCAATGAGATATGAAGAAAGCTCAATTAAACTTGTCAAACTAAGAGCGGTTGGAGAACTTAACGTTCACCATAATTATATTAGTTTGTGTGAGAGAAAAGTTTTGCACACTATGATCGCCTATGGATTATTCATGCAAATTCATTAGCCTTCTCTCATCCACAATAATCTACCAACAAATATTTCTAACCCACTTGCTAAGTCATATTCATTACATATATAATCTTTTTCAAGAAGTCATCGATGGGCGATGTTTACTTGTATTAATTACTCTGAAATTTTAGTATTTTCATCCAAGTTAAACTAAGAAATGATAATTTTTAATAAACCTGCTACATATGATTATAAAAAGATACAGCAAAGATTCCTCGCATAGTGCGGCTTCGATCAGTCCGAATTCAATATAGTTGAAATTGACGAAAATAAATATAAATTCAAAATAATTTGTTTACATAAATTTGGAACTAAATATCCGCACTATGTGAGTTAAGTCTCCTTCTCCATAGTTAATATATATGAATTTTAAAGTCCGATTCGTCCGATTTCAAACAGCCGGAATATTGAAGAAAATAATTATTATAAGCTAATTCAAATTTGGCGCCATCTTTCGTGCAAAAATAATTAAAAATAAACTTATTTCATATTGTTTTTACATAAAAATTGTATTTATAATCATTATAAGTATGACAAATTCTATGGATGAAGTTAATTTGTACTAATTAATTTAAAACTAGATTATAATATAATTTACTGATATAACTAAATTTATTGGAGTAAACTTATTTAAGAAAAAAAAGGAAACTTGACTATTATATTATATAAAAGATTCATGCAAGATTGTGTTCTAAGAATTGTTATGTTCACTTTTACTACATACACTGAAAATAGATTTAAAATAATCGCTTTTATTAGAATAATTACATTTATTTAGGCTAAACAAATTATAAAAGTTTTAGTGAATAAAATTTTCTTTAAAAAAAAATCATAATTACCTTAATTATGACTTCACTTGATAAAACATGTTTCCTTTTACTATATACAGTAAATGTATGCTTTTTTACATAAGGTTATTGTAAATTACTTAAGAAATCATAGAAAATACAATAAAAACTATGTTTTCGAAGAATCTTTTCGAACTTATTATTTTGAATAAATAAAGTTTATGATATTTTTTTGTTAACAAGAATTGTTATTTGTCAACAATATTGTTTAACAATATATAAAAATAAGGATAAATTTGTTTATAGTAGTATTAATTATATATAATACTGATTAATTGCATAATTTATCATAAATTGTCATGATCCATTTTTTCTTTTGATAGAATACAAACATAATTTGTATGAAAGTTATTGTTTTTTTTTGTTCATTCTCTTATAAATGTACCACATTAAATAAAATGCGACATGTAAATTACATGTGATTTTCTTATGGAGTACAGTAATTCATATAAGTGACGTAAAAAATGAATATGAAAATATAAAATATGAAATTATTAAAAAAAGTAAATGGTTCTGTCTTTATACCATATTGATATCAATAAATTTTGAGTTAGCATAATAAGATTTAAACAATAAAATGTCGTAGGAAGACAGTTAAATTGTATTTTTAAATTGATTATTGATGGGAATTCGATTCTGCTTTTATCCCGGATTGTATGAATCCTGACAAATCGAAGACTTTAAAGACTTGACTATAGATATCAATTATTTATAAATAAAATTATTTTTGTTTCGAGAATATATTTTTATTTTGCTGAATGAAAATTTAATTAGTTTTGAAATTTTTAAACCGGTTATAATGACAATGACCGGACAAATTCAAACCGCACTATGCGAGGTATTGCTATACATTATATTTTAAATTTTTACAAGTTTTGACTGTGATTAATTCATGATAGTTTTTGTAATGTGTTATTTCGAAGTATTTAATCCGAAGCTAGACATTCTAGATTTTGTTGCTGGTTGCACTAACGATCTTCTGAAAATTTCATGTAGAAGTAGAAAACTCTTTATGTTTTCTTCTTCTAAATAATGTAAATAAAATTCTTATAGTATAAAAAATATTATTTATTTATATAAAACGATTTATTATAATCAAACGAATTAATTGTAATCAAAATTACTTTGCGCAATCTTTCATTTGATTGGATACAAGTTTAATAATTAATTTAATTAACAAAAATCTATTCTATTCTTTTAACTAATTAAAAAATCTCTTCATTATCATTATACATTTTTGTGAGATGATTTTTACTAAATTGTTTTTATTCAGAATAAAATTGAAAAAATAATGTTTTTTTTTTAAGAAAAGTAAAAATTTGTTATTCATATTTATGAATGTAAATAAAATATTGAATAATTTCAGTAATACAGACAGCAAAATATAATATAATTAATGACCGAATAGAGCGAATTTCACTCATATTTTCATCTTCTGACATTCATTTCCTTTGAGTCTTAAAGTGGAATTTCTCTACACAAAAAGAAGCTTAAGGAAATGCATTATATTACTGTGCAACAATTCACAACAAATGTAATATTAAAAAAATGTAGGACTGAATGTGATTTATTTATTTTCATTTTAAAAATACCGATACTGTTGTTACCTGAAGAAAAAAATTAACAAATTGCATACATACCTGTGAACATCAATAGTGTTTTTTTTTTAAAGTTTTATTTGTTGAAATAGGGATGGGAATAAGAATTGTTATTTGTATCCTATTGTCTACTTTACATATATACATTTATTAGATACTTTTACAATTAAATCTCTATAGAATATATTCGAATCTGTTCATAAATATAAATAACGCTCTTATTTATATAGTTTACATTTAATTATAATTTTAGTTACGTGCTATACACAATTAACATGCAGGAAAACTGTAACGAACAACTAAACTAGCATATGAAATTTACAAGAACGTGACAATCGATGTGACAATCCACAAGTTAAAAGGGGGCTCAGTATCTTCGCGGATTGTCGCAACGTCGACATGTTCACATATATTTTTTATGTTATATTTAATTCACTTAAACATTATGCATCATCTCTAAAGGTAACTTAATTTATATTAAATACTCGAAATCGGTAACTCTCTGACCCCTCGACGACGAACTGCAATAAAAAAAAGAAATAAATGTAGTCTAGACTCGTTGATTGATCTCCATTCGCAGAGAACGTTTTTCTTTTTTATTGTTGGTCCATTCATTTTAATATGTTGTTGGCTCAACGGTGAAAGAAAGAAAAATAAGGATAATAGATCTATCCTTACCGACGAGACGTATCTAATCAGGAGAACTCTTGGCCACATGTGTTTCTATCCTGCTCGGATGTTGCGCCCTGCACCTTGTTCAGAGGCGTCGCGTTTCCGGCTGTCAGCACCGTCTCACAAGATCGCCTGAATTTCCGGTTGCTAAAGCGGAAATAGCCCCTGAGCCTCTCCTTCGTTGTACTGCAAGAAAAGACAACAATGTAATACACATTAATCATTTGTTTCTTTACATTAAAAACAAAACAATTCTACAAAAAAAAATTGGAAAGTTCAATTCTTTAGTTCAATTCTTTAGTTAAATAATATTTAATTGCATTTTTTGACGTTTTTCATATTGACATTTTTTCCACTGACATCAGAAAATATATATTTATAATTGAATTAAATTAACATTCATGCAAACATTTTCAGGTTTGAAATCAGGAAAAATCTAAAAGTTTGTAAAGAAATCTTCAATTCTGGTCTTTATTTTATCTCTTCTCTTCAATTTATTTACATTTCTTGACGTTCATTCATTCATTATTTTATTTCACTGAAATAAGAAAATATCTATTTTGAATTGAATCTACTAAATTAACATTTATGAAAAATATTTTCAGGTTTGAAATCAAGAAAACACTGAAACTTTGTAAAGAAACGTTCAATTCTTAGGTTTAATCAAAAATAAACATTTTCAAAATTTCCAAAATTATTGATATCTCATAACAAAACAAGAAATTTAAGAACACATCAATACTTATTTATGTACATTGTCTCATAATTTGGAATTTTTATAAAATAAAACAGGAATTCAATTTTTTTTAAGTTGAATTATACTAAAATGTTTAGTTAACGTTCCACAATATTAATTCGTTAAGCGAAACTTCGTTTTCAGAGGTAAACAGTGCTATGAAAAAAAAAAGTCATTAAAAAAACCGTCAATTTCCTCAATGTCGTTTTTCTTTGTTTTGCTAACAATTTTTTCTAAATCTTCACTGAAAAACGGTCAACTTCTGTATACAATAAATTTTTAACATTATTTTCATGGTCATTTCTTTTCCACTTTCTTGTAGTAGTTCTGATCATATTGTGCGCCAAACTCCATTACAGCATTATCAATAATTAGTAAAGTTTTCGGACAACCATGGACTTCATTATGTAGAAGCTTCGTTATCAGCGGCAACACTAAACGAGGTATGATTGTATTATCAACAATATTGAAATATCTATTTACAATTTCAATCAATAAATTTAAAATTTATGCAAGTTTGAAATTAGAAAATTAAATGTATTTTAAACTTTACACATTTTAAAGAATTGAATATACAGTGGATTATTTAAATAAATAATTGTACATTCTGAGAAAAATATACCTTTTTGGTTTTGATTTTGTCGATAAAATTTAATTTCGATACATAAAGCTGACTATTTATTTATTAAAATTAGTTTCTTCTGTTTATATTTGCAGTTAATTTGCTATTAAATTCAAGATCAAAATTTCTATAAATATTTCTCCACTTTCAAAATGAAATGTTCTTTCACTAATTGGTACCAAATTTACAATCTTTCATCTTTCAATTTATCATTTTCAAGTAAGTTTTTATAAATGTATTAACTAATTTCGTTATTATCACAATGTAACGTCAAATTTTAGAGTTTTTTCTACTAATTTTTCTTTGTATATATACATTATTGAATTATATTTGTATGAAAATTAAGGAAGAAAACATATTTTTATTTCTAACCATTCTGTCGAAATGCACAAAATCCGAAATTTTGTGAAATTCATTCGAGTTAGTGGTATTACACTAGGGATTACTCTACAAGTTGGCAATTCTTGAATCCCCATTATATGTGAGATACCGTACGTGAAAAGTTTTCTTTTGAATAGAGTGAGAACCACGTTATATTCATAAGCTAATATTCATCTAAAATATCCCCTTGGGTTCCTCTCTATCATCGCTTTTTTTTTATTGTAACCACAATAATGAAGATCCTACGTATTTTAATATATCTTCCTGCAATTTACAGTATACAGCACAATAAATTTTACAGAATGCGGTTTTGGCCTCGGGCACACAACTTGAAAATACTCATTGTTGGTTCACCAAGTGGAAGATCCAGTATCAATGCAGCAAAAACGCAATTTATAAATCCGCATTTTCATCTGCACGAATTCATATCGATTCTCAAATAGTCACTGCAGCTCTCTGCAGTACATAACTGAGTCTATTGTTTGATTACAAGTATTTGATAAAAAAATATTTTAATTTTGTTTAGTTTTTCTATTGTTTATAACTATTACAAAAATAATTATTGTAAAATCTAAAAAAAATTATTAAATATGAAAAATTTAAACAAATATTAGCAGAAATGTTCATAAAAAAATAATAATTAAAATTCATTTAAAATCTTTTGATTTAATTGAATTTAAGATCAATTACAGCAAAACCTAAATCGGATTGTTCGAAACCGGACTAATCGAGGAATACATATAAATAAACGGTAAGGGAAAAAACGAATTATTTTGCTGAATTAACAATTATTTTATCTTGAAAATTTTAAATCGGATAATGAATCCGGACTGATAGAAACTGCACTATGCAAAGTATTGCTGTATATCCATTTATGCTCAAATATTTATAAAGCTAAAATCAAGGTTTTATTAAAATAAATAAAACGAATCATCTGCTTCGTACGTCAAAAACACTATCCAACTAAATCGGATTGTTTGAAACCGGACTAATCGAGGAATACATACAAAAAAACGGAAAGGGAAAATCAAATAATTTTACTGAATTAATTTGTCTTGAAAATTTCAATCTGGATAATGAATCCGGACTTATCAAAACCGCACCATTGGAGGTACTGCTGTATTTGCATTTATCAAATAATATGCTCATAGATTTTTAAAGCTAAAATCAATGTTTTATTAAAAGAAATAAAACAAATTCTCTCTTTCGTACGTCAAATACCCTACTCATCTGAATCGGGTTGTTTGAAACCGGACTAATCGATGAAAATCGAATTATTGTACTGAATTAACATTTATTTTATCTTGTAAATTTCAAATCGGATAATGAATCCGAACTGATCAAAACCGCATTATGCGAGGGATTGTGGTATTTGCATTTATATAATAATATGCTCATAGATTTATAAAGCTAAAATCAAGGTTTTATGTCTTTTATTTTATAAATCCTCTGCTTTATCCGTCAAATACACTACTTTATTAACGCAAGAAAGTGGAACATTATATTCTAAGTTTACTTTAGAGGTTTTTAAAACGAACAGCGTGTCCACAAATTGTGGGAAAATTATACCGTGTACGGAAGAAACCTACTTCTCTAGCAAGCAAAGTTTCTTTACAAACTCTTGTTGAGTTTCTTATAAAATTATAATTATTATACGATAAAACCTGCTGTTTTTTATTTTCTTTAATTTGATGTTTTTTCTTTTTATTATGTTAATTGAAAATTACAATAAAATAACAAATATTTCTTTGAAATAATTATTTTTGTTAATAAGGGAAGAAAACATTTCAGACATTGTTTTAGAAATAGTAATAAGTTTTAAATTATTTGAAAAAATATGAACAATTCTCTGCTTCAATCAAATATATTGTTTATAGAATATTTGAAAGATATTTTTTTTGTTCAGTTGATCGTATATAAGTAAATGAAAAAATCAAAATTATATAGAAGTTGTTTCTATATCTTGATTTATGCAAAAATTTGTATACATTTTTCTTAATTAGATAAATCTATTTAAATATTTCTATAAAAAAATATGATATTATTTTTTTTACAAACTATTTCGGTTTAAACTAAAATATTTATATAGTTATATAGATAATAGAGCGGAGATTTTAAATACTTTGGAATTTGTTTTAGAAGTCAACTTCTTAGAAGTAAAAATAATGGCGTTTTTTTTTTAAAATAAATTATATGGGAGTTTATAAATTACTTGGCTTCGTGGAAATTATACAAAAAAATCCAGAATAATTGAACTATATTTTATAAACCAACTTTTCGGAAGTGATAATAATTGATGACATTACTTCGTCTTTTTTGGAGAATTTCATGATAAATTTGGAATACTTCTTTTTCTTCTAATAATGAACTTCCGTTTGGAATTTAGCTGGGTCTTGTCGACGCCGTTTTCTAGTCACATATCGGTAAGATTATTTACTATCTACAATATTAAGCAAAATGGTGAGTATCAAGTCGAAACCTCTGCAAAACCAGTAACTCGAGGAAGGAATTTGGAATAATTTCATTGTATTTTACAAGAAAACTTTTTAGAAAGAAGATAGTATAAACATAATAAACTTCGATATGTCAACCATTTTTAAACCGATTCTGATACGTGCATTCTGTTAAACTTTGGAGATGCTCGTATATATGTTTATTTGTAGTAATCATGGCTAGTTACAATACAGTATGATACATAGGATATAAAGGTTTCTTACAGTATAATGAGTCCGAGGCTCGACGGCCAACACAGAGAATACACACGAAATAATACAGAGAAACTTACATGATATTAAGACACAAGAGTAGCGGAAGTGAAGACAGGAAATAAGAGAAGAGACCGGGTACAGATATGTTGCAGCTTATATAACCTAACCAGGTAGTACCCTTATAAGACCTTCCCGGAATACATTATATACTTCACATATCTCTTTGTGAGTAACTGCAGCTTTCTTGTCTTTACGAAAATAAACAAGTAATTATTGTTATACTCCTTTCTGCTCTTCTCAGAGCACCATCAACGTCTTCTTGACGGCCAACATCCTTTCCTGGAGCTCACAACCGTCTTTACTCACTTTACAGTGTTAAATACACTCTACCGCTTTTACATTCTACCGCCTTAATTCAATAGATGGTCCTGGAGGCAACATTGTACGGAGGAGTGTATTGCATTAAAAATTGTATAAGTAAAAAAAAAATGCGTATTGAATATTAAAACAGAAACGACGTGCGTCAACTTATAATTAATTAAATTGAAATTTGCGCTGTGGTAAATACGTTTTAATTGGGGCATTTTATAACTGGACTAACAAGCATCGGAGCTCCGAAAACTCCGATTTCGGGGAACTAGTTAATTAATTCGCGTATTAACCAGTTTCACTGAACGCAAACTGCAATTTTCATTCGGAAAATGACATAATTTTAAAATAAATTGCATATGTATAATAA